AGGCACAGCGCTAGGCGGATTATCCTTCCCTTATCCCCTAAAAAGGCAGTAAACGATACTTTGGCTACCTTGTCTTTCAAAAGGCCCAAGGACCCTATCACTTTTTCAAAAAGCTGCTTTCCAACATGAACATCAACGGCAGACAAGGGATCATCCAGGAGGTAGATATCGGCCCCACTATAGACAGCTCTGGCCAGACTGACTCGATGCTTCTGGCCCCCACTTATATTCACACCCTGAAAATGGAGCAGGAGAAAAACAAGACCAGAGGAGAAGTGTATAAATCTCAAAGCATATATGGTTACATCCAAATAATGTTTCATAGCATGGATAGATGACAACCCGAAATGAACGCTCGAACTTTTCTTTATTCATAATTTCCTAGGCCTATCCCCATTCCTCTTCCTAGCACTACCAACTTGTGCTAATTAGCAGATATATCTACTTTTTCTTAACTACTTACCTTCAAAACAAGATGCTAACAATTAAGGAGAAAATAATTTTCAAATCCCAAACTCTGAAAAGCCATGCCTGTGGAATATTAAACAAGACTTTTGGCTGCCAACCATATACTGACACTAGTGATTATTTTTAAATTGACACATAGAAAATGGAGAATAATAGCTAAATTACCAAAGCAGTAATCAACATGTCCTATTTCTCCTGCAGAAAGATTAGTACAAGTCTTGTTGGCACAAGTACAATGCTAAGAAGCAAGAATAGGGAATATTCATCACCCCATGTGAGAATTAAAGCTGACATATACAGCCATGTATGGAGAATTATGGGGCCAGGCCCAATTTACTTGATTTATTTTATATTTAGTGTTTACAGATCTGCTTTAAAAGCTCTCAGTGCAGCACAGAACTTAGCCAACGACCTATAATTGTAAAATACCATTGCTTCTTTGCATTTTTCATCCTGTCCTACTCAATAAACATCTGCTGAGTAGGACTATGTTCTGGGTGCTATGCTAGCATTTGGGATTCAAAGACAAGTGAAACAGAGCCTATGTCATCAGGAGGTCACGGTTTATAGTTTAGCAAAGGAGAGGCACATATGTGTGTGTGTGTATAAAGCAATGTGATGTGTGTGTTTGTGTGTGATTATAGTAATAATATCATGCAACTCATGGGTTTGTTACAAGCATTCAATGAGGGTAAAAATATTTAGGAAAAATCCACCACCAAGTTTGGGTACAATCCACATTAGCCATTATCACACAATCACTCCTCTCTCCAATCCATCCTCTGTCTTACCATCATTTTTCCTATAATTATGTCATTATCTTGCTTAAAAGACTTGGATACCCACATCTCCCTCTTTTCATCACTCATGAGCAACAGCAAATTTCTTAGTAGAAATCTAAGATGCTTGTATTTTGACATTAACTCATCTCTTCAACCACTCTCCTAATGCTGCCCTCAGGTGACTGTGGTTTGCCAACCAGACTAACCTTTCATGCTGCCCTTTCATACTGGGCAGAAGCTGTTCATTTTGACCGCATCCTCCCTTTTTAACTTACGGGCTATTCACACTAAAATTTCTCTTTGAGAGCAACCCTTCCCCTCGATGTCCCAGGTGAAGTTATTCATTTCCTCTTGTCCTGTCTTGCGGTGCTTTATTTATTCATCCCATAGCTGGAATTGGCAATTTCCATGTCAGTCTCTCTCACTAGCCTATGAGCTCCTTCCTAGGTCCTCCTTGTGTTCCCAACACCTAGTGTGTGACAGTGGGTGATTGATAAATATTGGTAAGGACAATTGATTAATAGCATTGGCAGAGGTCCACTAGACTACAAGTGTCTTGAAGGTAGGGTAATAGTTCTCTTATTCACCACTGTGTACTCCATAGCAGAACAATTAATAAATGTTTGTGATCAGTTGAAGAAGGCCCAAGGAAAAG